AAAAAAAATCATAAATACCAAAACTGTCAAGTATAAAATGTAATTTATGTCAATGTTCCACATTCAAGTTAATTTGAAACCACCCACAATTTAGTTGCCAAAGAGGTTGATATAGCCACTTAGAATTGCCCTGAAAAAAATGGAAATCGTATTCTTCCACACTTACTATAATAATAAATATACATTTTGTATCAGCAGCATTCTCAACCGCCAGTCGTCTTCATTCGCCTTGTCTTGTACAGAAGAGCTCCATACCCCCCCCCCCCCCATTTAGCCGACATCACTTGTGAACCCCTGCAAACACGAACACAGCAAAAGACAAAGATGCACGAGACAGGTTAAATGCGTACAGTATTTCCCCGCATATAGCCCGCATACGCATATAACCCGCAGACGCATATACCCCGCAAAAGTAGCGTTTTGTGTAAAACAAATTTCAGATAGCCCGCACCTCCATACACCCCACATGCATTCATATCTTTAACGTCGTTACCGCAGCTTAATTCCATCAAATTAATGCGACGTTTACATTTGTAATACATTCCACTATCAATTGTTAACATTAAAATCATAACGTGCACAAAGAAAATAAACTAGTCGGAAACGAGTGAACTTAATACAGAAAATAAGTAACAAAAGTAAATATCCAATAAATAAGTAACACGTAACTGGTAGCAAAGTAAGTCGTTTTAGCACTGGTAGATTGCGCACTGCGCTGACAATAGCGGCACTACGGTGACGCCGTTGCCTCGCCCCCCCACCTCTCCTCTTCCTCCCCCAGCTGCCCCACCCCCCACCCCCCCACCTCACCTCTCTCCCCCCCACCTGCCCCACCCCCCCACCCCCCACCTCTCCCTGTCCCCAGCTCTCAAGTCGCCGGTAAACAAAGTACGCCCACTTCAAACATTGTCGTTTCATTGTACAAACAATTCGAATAATTAAAAACGTGATAGCATGTGCAATTTTAGTGTGAGTGGTTTATTCAGCAGTGCTTTAGTCAAAGGTAACTGTTGCATAGTGGATAGTCCTACCATGAAAACATTAAACGAGTTATGACATGTCACACGTGTAAAATATTTGTGGGATAGCCCGCACCTCCATATACCCCGCAGGGTCTTGTTTTGTTTGTAAAAAGTGGTATACCCGCGGGTTATATGCGGGAAAATACGGTCATTTAAACCGTTCCGGGAAAAGTAAGTGGGGTTTGGGCCAGGACGCACAGCTCAGAGAGACTTTAGCCATGATGAGCCATGATGGAGTGGCAGCTGAGGAATGGAAGTTGTCACAGAGAGCATCCATCTAAGAGACGGAGGCACGAAATCGACTCTCGTGCTACGGTGGATTGAATTCGGACTTTGCTGCAAAGATCACAGGGGCGTGCAATCGTTGAAAATTCGTCAATTTTAGTTTTGTTGTCTAAATCCATTCGGGGAGTCTTGGTCGAGTTTTATCAACGACAGATTCGAGGTGACCCCCACGGGAAGGAGAGAAAAAAAATATTCATAATGATGATAGATAAAAATTTGAGCTTAAAGAATAAACAATAAAAATATGTTAATGCCACTGTTAAACTAAATGTGTCCTGTGCTTTTTGGCCACTCTGTGGTAAAGTCATATTTTTTTCCCGATGGTGACCTTCAAACGAATCAGATAAATATAGCCGTGACGTGTGGGCGATGAGAATGACGAGCTGGCTCCAGATTTTCCCGCTGACTTTAATGAGCCGAAGGAGACGACGCAGGTTCGTCTTGATTAAATCTAATTCGGGACGCATTTGGATGGGTTTTGTGCGCGTTTGTTGCGTGTGCTTGTTACAGTTACCTAATCAACTGACACTTACAAACGAGTGACATTTGGACGGAAAACGCACGCGGAAAGTTTGACCCTTTTAAATTTCGCAGCAACTCTACAACGCGTGGACTCTGCTCAACGCCCGTGGAGTGGGACTCACCGTCTGCATCTGAGCTGTCCGAGTTACCTTCCTCAGACTCTGCAACCTCCTCCCCTCCTCATCCTCCTCTTCGTCCTCATCCTCTGCATCTGTCAAGGCATACCGTGAATGCGACCCTCGCTTCGTACCGGGGCTTTCGGACAATCGATACAAGTGCAGCGCTTCGAAACCACTCGTTTGAAATGCGCGTTATGATTGCCGTACATTTCATTCCACGAAATAATCGACAGTTTTGGGGACAATTCTGCAACTGCTGTGACTGTGAGCGAATCTGCGTCACAACGTCACACCCCACACACCCGCCCCCACCCTCCTCACCCAGCACAACGAAGTGGCTGATCATGTGCAAATGTATGGCATCAAAGTAATCTAAATACTCTTCAACGCACGTTGATTCTAAATGTGGAGGCAAAAACCGGAGGGCACGGAAAAAAAATATCCACGCGATCACGGAAGAAGAGAGAGAGAGACGCAAAATCCAATAATACATCTTGACTTAAAGCATTCGTGACTGCAGGCATTCATATTCTTGGGTCTTTCGTTAAAGTCACATAGAAAGATAAAAAAAATAACACCTGAAGACGACCGCTTGTGTTGCGATTAAAACGTCGTAGTTTTTTGTAAAAAATATTTAACCTATCTACGTGACTTTACCGAAAGACCCAAGAATATCCAAATATACAGCAGGCGTCAGGCTCAGGATCGAACCCCTGAACCTCCCGTAGACCAGGCGAGGTAGTTAACATCTCCTTAGCCACCGTGGCACCCCACCCTCGCCACCCAGCTGGGAGTTCTCACCTTTGCCGAAGTCAATGCCCTCACAGCCTCCTGGACGTTGTCCAGGTCGACGAGGAAGTGGTTCATGTTCTCGTAGCCCATCTCCATCTTCGGCATTTCGGACCCTTTCGTAGCATCGACGACGCTGCAAAGGAAGTGCGCTGGTACGGTTTGCTGACATTTCACCCGGCGAAGTCTGGTCTGCGTCCGTCTATAGCTCTATTGCCGGACTCTGCTGACGAGGACCAGCAGTTCGAGGGCGAGGTGGTCCAGAGTTAGTTTGGTTGTGGGAACAAATGCTGCTGGACAACGTTGGGCTGGAGGCTCAAAGGCCTTGATTGGAGTACACAAACTATATATGTATACAGTTATTTTATGAGACGGACTGAAGTGTGTTCCCAAAGTGAAGAGGGGATAACCTTGCCAAGCATATTTGGCAATCCGTCTGCATTCACTTAGCAAGCCCGACTCTGCTAAGGAGATCAGGAAGTTTACTTTCTTGAACCAATTCTGATATATATCATTGGTCTGAAAGTCCAAAGGCTAATGGATCAAAACATTGTTATTCTCATGTGGCAATACAGACGGAAGAGTGTTCATTTGATTACCTACTTAAAAATCTATCTCGACGTGTGCTGAATTACAAATCTCAGTGACAATATTAGGGATAGATGAGTTGAAAGGAGACTTGATATGGAACGGACAACTCACCTCTTCTGAAGAGCGCTTGCACTCTGTAAATAATGATAAAAAAACACAACGTTAAATTCGTGACAAGAATAGTTTTGTATTAATAACAAAATCTATCACCATCAGCGCTCGGATATATTGTCAAGTCCGTCTGCACCATAACAATCTGACAAGCAACCGATGAAAGAGACGCATCACTATATCTAAATAACAATAAGCTACTGCTGGATGAAGGCCTCCCTACACCATGTCAGTCATCAAGGCCATTTGACCATACTACACCATGCCGGTCATTGTGGGTTAGGTTACGGGACTGGTTCAAATATCACCTGCCACCGATTCAAACTCAGGTCACCAGGTTCACAGCGCAGATCACTAACCACTGCGCCAATACTCCCACTCGCCGTGTCTAAAGTGCCCTCCTGTGTTCCGTATCCACTTACCCTAACGACATAAACATAAAAGAACTGTCTGGAGATGACGCTTGAAATTACGTACGCAAGCGTTTTACATTTTTCATCAGTCAGTATTTTTTGCGATGGGCCTCAACTCAGAGTGACAAACTGAAAATGTGAAGAGGCCTGTAATTTTCTCCCTTTCCCTGCACGCATCTTCATTTAAACGAGCTAAGCCACATGTCCTGCAAATGCATATTGCAGGCCTCTGTCAATCCACTCGTGGATTATGATGATGATGACACCACCGAAGCTTTTTCGCCAACCGTGGCTGTCGTTTGCCCACACGAGTACGACGTGGCCAAGACAGAGGTCCAGGACATCGTTCGCAAACAAAGTAACGGAAGAGCGACGCATCTAAAATTCAACGAAGTTTCTATAATCGCTCAGACATCGCCCGTCACCAATGTCAGCCTCGGCCAAGACTCGAACTCGGCTCGCCGGTTTGCGGAGCGCGGCCGGCTCGCCGCTCACCGCACCCTCCCCCCCGCCAACCAACAGATTCTGACGAGCGCGGAGACGACGAACGGTGCTGACCTGAAGGAATGCCGCAGCCTCGGGCTCCTCCATGGCCTGGAAGGCTGTCTCCACCAGCTTGGAGGCGGACTGCAAGTGCTCGTTGTACTGCTTGATGAGGTCCCGCACGTGCTGGTTCTTGTCCTCCTGCTCCTGCGAGATGACCATCAGCATCTCCTGTTTCCTCTCCTCCAGCGCCGCGTATACGCCGTCGAACTGCTCGCACAGCATCTGCTTCTGCACCCGGCTGTTCTCCTGGAGTGGCGCCCACCCCGCGGACAGAGCAGGGCACGAGCGACAGAATCGGTGTTAATTTTCGGTGGGAACGTCAGCGGTTCTGCGGGGTGTTTTTGGGGTTTTTTAAATCCTTTATATTAAGTTCGCTTGCACGCTTGCTTGCTTGCGCGCTTACGACCGTGCAAATCTTTCGGTCGTTTTTTAACCCACTTCCCGTGATCCAATCGAGCTGACATTTTCCACACAGACTCGTTGTGCGTGACAATTATTTTTCGTGAAATTTTTTCCCCAAAATTTTACACTTTTTAGGAACAAAAAATTATATGTAATTACCAATTGCTTAATGGTGGCAACCAATCATCTGACCCATAGGTGGCAGCCATCTCAAGCCAGAGGACAAGAGGACTCTAGCCGCCACGCATATAAAGGATTTATAGTGAAAAACTTTTTTTTACGGGTTATTTTTTTGCTCCACTCGCTTACTCGCTCTCTCAGTCTCTCGGTCTTATTGCGTCAACTTGTGGAATTTGAGCCAGGTCGTTGCGTGTGTGTGTGTGGATTCCCTTTAGTCAGCTTTAAAAAAATATTATTTGAAAGACCAGACAAAGTCCACAAGATAAGACTTGAGGGAATATATCCACGGCTATCCGTCGACGAGACTCGTGGTAGGACTGCGAAATGAAAATGCCGAGTCGGGGTCTGCCTGCCCAGTGGCAACGCGGTGTGCTTCGAACCGGTCCCTCCGGTGTTGTGCAATTAATTAATTGGGGGCCCCCTGCCCGGCAGTGGGCTCGTCGTAACCGCGGCCTCCGGTGCAGTTGCACCGCCTGCACACTCGACACCTAACGCCGCTGTGGCCACCATCGCGAGTGGTGGCTCATCAGCGGTACGAGTTGTCTGTTTACAGTAACGTTCATAGGTTGACCTCTTACGACTTCAAACGAAGCAGTCCTCATTTGATCAACCCTGGCCGGGTTAATGGGCTGATTAACACGTAGGCTTTCGCGACCAATATCATCCATAATACAGGTTTTTGTTAGTTATATTTTGTAATCATTATTTACGAGATTTAAAAAAAACCTGTGTTATAATGGACTGATACTCTTGGGTTTTTTTCCGGTAAAGTCACGTAGGTAAAAAATAAAATATAAAGTTAATAAAAGTAATATTATTACTTTTAATAACTATTATTTTTTTATAATATTATTACTTTTATTAAAATTAATTATTTTTTACCTACGTGACTTTACCGAAGAAAAAAAACCTAAGAGTATAAATCCTTGCAGTCACAAAAGCTTCAAATCTAGAAATAATGACTGAGTTGATAAAAAACAAACGTTTAAACCCCGCTACAAATCCACTGCGGGATCTTTGCCCCGGCTGCGTGAGGCCAGCGTTCTTTAGCCGGGTCAGCCACACTGCAGCACAACGGAGACTCGATGAACGCAGAGAGTCTCGGAGATCATCGCCACTGGGGGTGATGTCGTTCTCATTGTCACTGAAGCGACGGCAACTCCACAACGTCCGACGTGGCACGGGCGGGCAAAGTGCCCCAGCCGAGAGCGTCACGGCCCGGATTTCAACAACGCTGCGATGAAGCAGCACGTGCGTGTGCGTGCACGTGCGTGTGCGTGCACGTGCGTGTGCGCGTGCGTGCGTCGTGTGTGTGCGTGTGCGCGTGTGCGTGTGTGTGCGTGTGTGTGCGCGTGTGTGTGCGTGCGCGTGTGTGTGCGTACGTGCGCGCGAGCGTGCGTGCGTGCGTGCGCTGCTGCACTGGTGTTTCAACGGGGCGGGGGAGTGTCACACTTACATCGATGACTTTGCAGCTGTGCTCCATCTCGCTGATCATCAGCTGCACCCTGTCATTGCTCGCCACCAGTCTGGAGATGGAGTCGCTGAGGTCGTTCTGGCAACAGCACAACAACAAAGAAAGCCGTCGAAGGACACGGGGAGAGAGGGGAGGGGGTGAACTTGGGCACTGTCTGTCCTCCCATCGCGCCGCGTAATTTTCACGACGCGAATTGGATGCAACGCGGTGAATTGCATTCGGGGGAACGCATTTTTTTTTTCGCGAACACGGTTGCGAATTGGATGCAACGCGATCGAGTGAACGGAACTACATCGCAGCGTGAGTTGGAATAAGCGGGTTGTAGCGGCTTCCACTGTGCATCATGGCGCAAGGCGTCGGGATGCTGCTGGATGCTTCTAGATGCTACCCACGCGCCTCGGTCTTTGTTCAGCTCGCGTACGCATCTCACCGTGTTATCGCGGGCTGCGCATTACCCTATGATATTGTATTTATTATAACACGATTCTTCCATAAAGCGGTGTTCTTCAAGGACGCGACTACCGCGTTACAGAAGAACAGACTACCGTGCAAACGTACGTGCACTCTCTTAAATGGGGGGGGGGGTGGGATACAAAGGTCCAGCCATGCAATAGCTTACCCTCGGCATTGCTGGTGGAAGTGCATCCACCAGTTGGTGGCTCGAGATGTCATTTTATCTACTCTTTCACAGCTCACCAGACACTCAAGCAAGAGGTGGGTGCACCCACACCTCACCCCACCACGCGTCATCTGCCTGACAAGGCTGCCTGGAATTCAGCGCTATTTTGATGAACATCGCCGATGGGGAGACAAGGGTGTGAAACGGAACTGGCCCGAACCCAGCCCTCATCGAGTGCCATGTCAGCTTTCACCAGAATCAGAATCTTCATTTATCCTGGAGGAATCCAAAGAGCTATAAAGCTCTTTTTCATAGACGCCCAGTAACTGGTACCCTCAACAGCATGTCTTTCATCAGTTTAGAAAGCAGGTAAGCCGGGTGGGTTTCTTGAGCGCAACATTTAGCAGGAGTGATACTAAAAAATAAACATCTTACCATTGTGTGGTTTGGCTGAACCTTTGTATTAGCTCTACTGAAGTGAAGATGGGGGGGGGGGTGTCAGTAGTGACTGGGTGGTGGTGGTGATGGTGGTGGTGGTCACCTTGTGGCTTTTATAAACGCTCCCCAGGGGGGCCACTTGGCAGTCCTTGTGAGCTCCGAACACCTTGCACAGAGAGCACGTGGGCACGCTGCAGGTGATGCAGAAGATGTTGATCTTCTCTTCCGCGTGCTCCACACACATCGGGTGGTCCACCTTTTTCACCGGCCTGTGGTTTTCAACGGCACGCGAAAGAAAAAGACCCGAATTCACCCGGGTTAGCCTTCGTTGCAAGCTTGTTTGCTGGCGAGCACTGATAGATAGATACATAGATACGTGACTACATACAGGGTGGTTCAAAAGTCAGGACACGTAGGGTTATTTCATTTATTTTGACGCTGCGCGAAACAAAATAATTGCTTATTCTTTAAGTAAAATTTGTTTTTATTATCATTATTATTATCTATTTTTCTTCTTCCGTTTCGGGTGAAATTAGTTTTTTAAGCGCAAAGAACACGGAATAAAAAAAAAACGAGCGCGTTTATGTACGATGAAGAAGGCAGCTTCACATGTTTTAAAAAAAAGTTCTTAAATTAGTTTCAAAATATAATTCGTGAGTGTATTAATGTTAATTGAAGCCGGTGTTGAATATTTGTCAAAATTAATTCAACAGTAACACAAAATTTACGTATTAAAAATATATAATAACCCTATGTGTTTAGATTTAAAGCTTTCGTGACTGCAGGGATTCATATTCTTGATTCTTTCGGTAAAGTCACGTAGAAGGGAAATAATTTGGGCCACCCTGTATAATGTCAGCGCGGTTACTGTGTGCAGGGACAAAGGCACAAATGCCCCCAAATTCCAAGTGTCCGGCGACAATCAGCACTCCTGGAAGTGCAATAGACAGATAGAGAGTTCACACTCGACTGGTATTGAGCAGGGTTTACAAACAACTTTGGGAAATCCATAACTCAAATCAAGATGTATTCTTGTAAGTCGGAGTAGCTGTGTTGTCACGTAACAGCCAGCACCAGTGAAATTTGCTGCGATAGTCCTTTTGCAGGATGTTTCTGATTATAGCTGCCTGTAATTGAAAGGGCAATTAAAATATAACATTAAATGTAACAGATGAACGGATACATTTGCATCCATGCTCCTATGGTCGGAGTAGTAACGGCACTGGGCATAGGGAAACCAAGCACACGTTTCGGACCCCACGTATTTCAAGGGGCCTAAGATGAATGGACAAAATTGGAGTGAACCAAACAACGGCTCGAATTCAAACCCCTAATGAGCGTGCATGTTTGAACACACGCTTCGTTCGTTTTACCCATGCATATCCTACTCGTATCCATCTCGTCTCACTACCTATCTACCTCTGGTCTGCATCTGAAAAGGTGTGTGTGGTGGGTGGGAACGCAGACGGTCCATCGACCAGTCATCTCAGTCAGTCAAACCCAAGCCACCTTTGGTCTGACCCGTCACTCTCCTGCCAGCGGGCGTTCGACACTTTCAGGTGGCCTTAAAGTGCACATAGCCTGGCTGTTGTTGTGGTGGCTGGGTGGAAACACACGATGTGCATGCTTAGGGTCCCCCCAGCACCGAGTGAGTTCAAGGCTGATCCACGTTTGCCAGTGTGTGACACCGCGCCCCCCGTGGTCACTCGCCTGGTGGACTCTGTCTTGTAGATGTCGATGATGTTTTCTACCAGCAGGTTGCGCTGCAGGCCGTACACGCCGTGCCGGTCCAGCACCACCTCGTGGCGACACGAGGGACAGCGAAAACGACCTCCGGACGTCACCGTGTTACCCCGTGTCACCATGAACGGGTTGGCGGCCTGCGGGCGAGCGAACGAGCAGGTGAGCACTCGGGAGTGGGTTGGCTTGAGTGTAAGTGGAATTAATTGAGCCGGGTGAGTGAGCGAGTGAGTGCGTGGTGGGCGAGAGAGTGAACGAGTGGGAGAGTGAATGAGTTTGTGAGTAGGTGGATGAGTGAGCGTGTGAGTGGGTGAGGGGGTCGGTGAATGAGTGAATTGACGAGTGAGTTGGCGAATTGGTGTGTGGGTGGGTGAGTGAATGAGTGGGTGACTGAGTGAGCGAATGAGTGGGTCAATGAGTGAATGAGTGGGTGAGCGGGCAGATGATCGAGTGAAAATGATGAGTGATTGAGATCAAGTTAGTGTTCTTTAACCAGGTGAGAACTCCTGTTCGCAAGAGTAATACAATACAGCAAAGAATAAAGTATAAAATCAGCCCAAAAACAACGATGTCATATGAGACATCAGAAATATTGCCCGAACATAAATCAATGTTCGTAATTCATTCCCTGTCGGCTCGGGTAGATTGAATTTATATTGATCGTGTTACAATTGCATGAATTAGTTGCCAAGGGGAACACATTGTTGACTCAACCCGAGAGTGTGACCTTGTTTTAAACAGGGGTTATATATAAACTCATGCGGAGGACCACAACGTTAAACACACTTCAAGTAAATATTAAACGCTGAACAGAATGACTAAATACGTGATCTGTTTATCGTATGGGTTTGCGTGCGTTTTTTTTTTTTTTTTGCATTGCATGGAGTCCCAAATTTCACACGGAGTGCTCTTGCCAATAACATTACATATGCACGTGTTCATTTTTTGTTTGTTTTGATAAAGTTGAGATGCGGTTTTTTTCCCCCCTTTGTCGTAGTTCTAAATAAAATGCACTTTGATGAGCCCAATAACAGCACTTGGAGAGAATGTATAAAAATCATCATGTAATGTATTAGATTGTGCAATGCTTTCTGAGCTGTTAAAGGGTCAGTGGTGCACAGATTGTAGCCAAGGAGGGGGGAATTCACCGCCGAATTTCATGCCAGCGACACAATTCACCAACAGCAATACCCCGTGAGGATATGCACAGCCAATGTCCTGGTGTGGTTGCACAACCGTTGTTGTATTGATTGATTTTGATTGCTCTTATTTTGTCGACGTGGGTAAGAAATGCTCAGCCGTGAGCTGCGTTAGAAGAATGATCCACGGAGGATCTTTGTTAAAAAAAAAGAAAAACAAAAGAAAGTTACAGAAAGAAATCAAAACATTGAGTAGCAATGTGCAGATTAGGGCCGGTGGACCACGTGGAGTTGGACAACCAGATAGAGGGCGATGAGGCTCCTGTAGGAGGCGGTACAGCAAGCGGGTCGCAGACCCCATCTGTGCAGATTTAGAGCGACTTCTCCATGTCTGTGCGGGATAAGCGGCGGTGCAGTCGTTGTCGCACTGAGCTCCAAACCTCGTACCGCCTGAGTTGGATTTCCCGGCCAAGGCCAACATGAGTTGCAGAGTGAAACTGTGATTCGAAGTGGTCCTCTTTACCGTCCCTCTTTACCGTCCCGAATTGACCAGCGTGGTGAAGTATCGTAACAAAATTAAAACACGCAACAATCCGCAACCGGTATGGAGTATAATAGGGCGTGCGTGAAGCTAGACTAGAGCTGTTTATCCCTGCCACACTCACATCTCACTACAATTGTGAATTGAATAAAGATGCCTGAGGCTTGGCAACCCCCTTTGCTGTGACGCGTTTATGGGAGCGAGCAGTATGACGGGACCTGACTACCTGACCTCTCGGTTTAGGCCATACAGGGCGGTACAGTACGCAGGTATAGTGGAGATGTTGTCCACACTTCACCCCCTACCACAAGCGATGCGCCATCGGACTTGCATTAACGAAGGGTGCTTCAAAAAAATGTTGACACTCACATGGGACTATCGTTTTTAATGAAAAAAACCTGGGATAACACACTGTAACATGATAGCAAATGTGGATAGCTTAAAAAGTAACTTGTTCGCCATCATTGTCACCACATTCCTGGAATCTTCTCCAGGTGGTCTCCAGAGCCCGGATATACATTTGTTGTGATGTTGTTGCAAATTCTCAGAAGTGTTTTACAGTTTTTTTTCTTGAAGCACCCTGGTATATCGCTTGTTGCCTTATTAGTATGCTGGGGTGGACAAGCTACAAGGGTGGACCAGTGGACATTGCCCGTGGCTTCAAGTGCTTTGACCAGAATCGTAACCTCGAGACCTCTGGGTTTGTTGTTGCAGCTTGTCGTGCTACGCCTGAAATTCCACGGTGGGTTTTTGGTATTGCCCTCTCAACGTGCGCTTCGAAAGAGCATGTTTGTACGGCCACCTCAGCAGAATACATAGCATTTAGCGATATAGGCACAAGGGACATTTGTGCGCGGTTCTTCAGGATTTAGCACTGTGACGGTGAGACAGAGTAGGCAACAGAGTGATAAAGGGTTGGTAACAAAAATGTTATCTACTTGGCTAGTGTAGCCAGAGAATACCACTTTAGAACAAGGTTTTTTTTTTGCAGTTGATACCTATAATTGACTTGAGATGTCATTTTAATCTCAGGTATTCACTTGTTGTTACTGTGAAATGCGCAGTGTCGTGCTTGCAATAAACGTCACTACCACCGGCCGCGTTTTTGTTGTTGTTGTGTGTGCCGTTGATGATGTTGATGATGTTGATGATGTTGATGATGTTGATAATGCAGCGCGCCCACAGACGTCGCCTGCCACCGGGGAAGGAGCTGGCGTGACTCCTGGTGAAAGCGGTGGCGAGGTGGAAGGGGTGGAGTGGTGGGGTGTAAGGGTGGGGGGAGAAGGGTGAAAGAGGTGGGGGGTGGGTGGAAGGGGTGGGGGGTGGAAGAGGTGGGGGCGGAATGGACGATGTGGGAGGGGGGTGGAATGGGTGGGTGGTGGATGAGGTGGAGGGATGCAAGTGGTGGAGGTGTGGGAATAGAAGACGGGTTTCTTCACAATCGCTCGTTAACGCCGTTTTAAAACCCCTTGCACTCCTTTGCTTTGTCAACCCGTATCAACAACAACAACAACACTAATATCAGGTCAAGGGAGCAACAACTCTTAAACCCAATCATGAGCTCTTTGTGAACGACTCATTTGCGTTGCGATGTTAACTGTCGCGGCTTTGACTGCTGCTGCTGCGGTAGATGGACACAGATATTTTGCATAGGCTGCATTTTGCCCCGAATGCGCCCGATATCACTGAATCTGAGAAGCTAAGCTATCGTGCTGTGACGATTCCACCTGAAGACGGAGGCTTGTGTTGCCTCCGAAACGTCGTGATTTTTTTTTTATTAATTTTAATTTTTTACCTACGTAACTTTACCGAAAAAACCCAAGAATATGAATCCTATCAGTCACGAAAGCTTCAAATCTAGAATTAAGCTAAGCTGGGTTTGACTCTGGTTAGTACTTGGACCAGGAGGCTCTCTGTGAACAGCAGGCGTTGTTGGCTTGGCTCGCTGTACTTCTGTGAGATGGCGGTACAGCAAAAGATTCCTGAATCCATCCTGTGTGGAGCTTTGCTTGTTATTCCCCTGGTATTCAACAGGTAGACCGACTTCCTACCACGTGATAAGCACACGATTGAAATCGACCAAACAACACCATCTAAAAAAATCTAAAGACTTCAGTGAAGATTTTCCTGGACCAATAAAGGACACTGCTGTGTTACAATAATCACGCTGCATTAATCCGCGAGGACACTTATCAGACAGTGCTCAAGAGACACCCGTACCTGTTTTCTCGTGTGTTGTTATTTGCGTCGCTATAAGGCAAATACAAAGACACCCCCTAGAGCCTTAACAGACTTTTTGGCGCAAGTGCTGTTCGCGAACCACCTATGACGGCCGGCACGGCAAGTGGCGATATTTACTACACACCACACCAGGTATTCATTTGAGGTTGAGTCGACCTAGGGGAGGGCCCAGGACGGGTTCAAATAATCGCAACCGGTGGTGGTCGTGAGTAGAAATCGAACTCGGGTCGCCGGGTTCGTAGCGTAGCGCGCTAACCGCTACACCAAAGGCACTTATACTTGGACGTTTCTTCAAGGTGCTTGGATAGTTTAGACAGTTTGTACAGGGTAGCTTCAAACAATGTTAACACTTCTGAGAATTTTGCAACAATACCACGAGAGATGTGCCTCCGAGCTCTGGAAACCACCTGGAGAAGATTCCAGGCACGCGTTGACAACGATGGCGAACGAGTGGAGACTCTTTGATTTTTTGAAGCTATCAACATTCATTTGTTATCATGTTAAAGTGTATTATCCGTTTCTTTTCCCATTAAAAACGATAGTCCCATGTACGTGTTAATATTTTTTTGAAGCACCCAGTATAACCTCTGGCTCAGCGGTAGAGTGAGCAGCTTGCAATCAAGAAGGTTGCACGTTCAGATCCTGGTGTCGGGGTTAATCTAACCCACTGTCACTCTGGGATCGATGACATGAGTGCCATGTTATTTTTGTATTTGTGTGTAAGTCAACAATAATTGATTTATTTCGAGAATCGCCCCTACCAGAGGAATGAGGAATTTCCATTTCGGCCTCAGGACCGTGAACTGGGGAGAGACGCAACCAACAGTGCTCATTCGAGCCAGGTCATCGCTGAGACTTTTTATTTGAAACTTCGCGCACACTTGCACCGCCTGTTTAAAAATATGCAACAGAAAAAAACACATTTTTTGGTGGCCGTTTTAAGATCTCGTCTCGACCACTGACAGCTGCCAGACTTGGCGGGTCGCATCCGCTGTATAAAAATAGCATCGCGGGTTTTAAATTACGCTATTTTATTTGTCTTCCGCGAAAAATATAAAAAGAACTGCCGTCTCGATCCACGTTGAAAGCGCCGTACGCACGCAAAAAAAAGATTTTACAAGCACACACGCCTCGTTAAAACGATTAATAAATAATCACGACGCCTTCCAAAAACTAAATTAGGCGCTGAGAGTGCGTCACGCCCAGAGTTAATTTCCTCCCAAAAGCGTGCGGACATTCGGAGGCTCGGGGAAACAGCTGCGGTCTGAATTTCCTGCGATAAAAGTGACACGCTGCTGTTGTTGTTGTTGAGTCGATGAAAGTGACACGCTGTTGTTGTTGTCGTTGTTGTTGTGTCGATAAAAGTGACACGCTGTTGTTGTTGTCGTTGTTGTTGAGTCGATAAAAGTGACACACTGTTGTTGTTGTCGTTGTTGTTGAGTCGATGAAAGTGACACGCTGTTGTTGTTGTTGTGGAGTTGATAAAAGTGACACGCTGTTGTTGTTGTCGTTGTTGTTGAGAAATGTTGTTGACGCCGCGGCCTGCTGCAGCAGACTTTGTATCCGGTAAGCGGGGGACTTTGATTTGCCCGATTAAAAAAAATAATCTACATTGGTGCCACGTTCAGGAAGAGCGTTAGAATTGACACCAAGTCACGCTCCTCTTGGTGTCTTAGACACGCGTGCGCGTTGTCAATGTGTGCAGATAAGTCACGCGTGGGGTACCGTGAACGGCCACTTCAGCGTACGGTATCCCAACAAACTGAATCACCAAATTATGAAAGAAAAAAATATCCACGCTTACAAGAGGTTAACATTCCAAAGGTCCACGCGCATTGTTTTCGGGAACCCACTTTGCTTCTTTGTCATCCCCTAGCTATCTCACGCTGCGATTGCTTGCGAGTTTCACAAATCTCCGTGTGCTCCACCTACCCTGGCCTCCAAAGCACTGTATCGCACGCGTGCCCCACCAGCATGTATCGATAATAATGGCGATAAGACTGTGCCGATTATAATTTACCCAGGAATAGCCTCGATTATTCACCAGGACTTCCTTTTCAAGAGGGTCTCAAATTTGGCATGCTTGGAGCATTTTTCAATGAATCAAGAGTTTGGCTTCTCGCGGAAGGAAACGACTTTACCGAAAAAACCGAAGAGTATGAATCGAGAGGGCCCAGAGAAAAGCCAACACATACTCAGCACGGACAGCTCCTGCATAGCTCCAAGTCGCATTGTCTACAGCACCTGCCTGGTGAACGTGGTGGTGGTGGTGGTAACTCCACCATCAGCTCAGGGCGGGTGCGGCAATTGATCAGATGTGGTCCCCAAATTGTTGATTTGACTGGCATGGTGGCACCTCGGCTATTGTATATTGCGGACGTGTCTTGCGTTAATCACGTGATTAAGCATTTTCGTGAATGAATTTTTTACCGCATTTTTAATACTTTTTTTGTTATTTTAAATTGGCTGTCAAGGGGGCTCAAACTAGTAGCTTTGGCCACCAGGCTCGTTACGCTACTGGGGGGGGGGGGGGGGGTAACCGGTCCATGTCACTGACCAGGCTACACTGTGCTTTGCTTCTGAACTTCGGCGAGATAGGCGTGCCCCATTCCGGTGATATGGTCTTAGGAGCCGTCCATAAATGACGTCACGCACCTAGGGGGGGGGGGGGGTCAGACATGTGTGACGATGTGTGACGAGGGGGGGGGGTTGAGAAATGTGACGTCACATAAAAATGCGCAACTTTAAATAAATATAGACAACACGTTCTACTTATTAAATAGACGTTTTAATAATGTTTTCTCCTACAACATCAGAGTGCAGCGCCACATTAAATACGCACTACAATGACAATAGTTTAAAGCGATTTGAAGCATGTTTTTTTTTGGGGGGGGGGGGGCAGAGCTTTGTGACGTCATATTTGAGGGGGGGGTCTGACTTTTTGTGACGCCGTGTGACGAAGGGGGGGGGGGTCGAAAATCTTCCAAAATCGCGTGACGTCATTTATGGACGGCCCCTTAGTCTGTCTGTACATATATGTATCGAGTTAAGGTTCATGCACAAAAACGATATTTAGCGACGTGTATATGCAGAACCGGCCCTAGACATTTGGGGGCCCTAAGCAAAATTTGGTTGGAGGCCCCTTTGATGTATGATTTTTTTCACCCACTCGCCAGCAGTGACTCTAGGGGGCCCTCTGCTGGCCACGGGGCCCTTTGCAATTGCAAGGGTCGCTTAGTGGCTGGGCCGGCTCTGTGTATATGTTCATGTGGAGGTTGGTAAGTGAGCCCGTGGAAGACGAGCAGCAGTAGCCCTGGTGAACATCTCAAAGGCTGCCGGCGTATGATTGAAGGCGGCAGTGACGTTGCCTTGTGGTGCGTGGAGTGAGATTGGTCAACGCGGTCAGACCGTGGGTTCCAGGGATAAATCGCTCAAGGAATATGGCTTAACCTATCCCAAATAACCCCCCCCCCTCACCCCGTACGCTGCCAGGAGTTGTGTGCTGAATATATTGCTTTCCAGAGCTCAGCCCGGGCAGCTCCATCTGAATCGAGCGCTGCCGTGGGCTTCTCTGAATTGATTCTAGATTGAAAGCTTTCGTGACTGCAATGATTCATACTCTTAGTTTTTTCGGTAAAGTCACGTAGGTAAAAAAAATGAAATTAAAATTATAAAAATAAAATAATAAAAATCACGACGTTTCGGAGGCAACACAATTCTCCGTCATCAGGTGGGACCGTCACAGCCAGATTTGCTGTATCAAGTGAGGTCAGACCGTGGGTCCCTTGATACAGCAAATCTGGCTGTGACGGTCCCACCTGATGACGGAGACTTGTGTTGCCTCCGAAACGTCGTGATTTTTATTATTTATTTTTATGAATTTTTATTTAATTTTTTTACCTACTTGACTTCTCCGAATGCCCCGAGGCGTAGGAGAGAGCCGCATCTGTGCTGTGCGTGATGCATCAATTATTGGGTTTGGTGAAGTGGGGGCGTGAAGGGGAAGGGTGGGGGGGAGGTTGGTAGCTGATCCACTCTAGAATGCAGCGTGTGTCACACCAGCCTCGCAAAGCACTCCAGCCCCCCCCCCCCCCATTCAATCAACACGTTGCACGCACGCGCGCGCGTATGTTCGTGTGTCGTCTGCGTCGACGAACGGACGGATTGCTGCCAAACTCTTAATCATCCCTCGGCTCGCGAGGCAACACGAAATAAAGAAGGTTAGGTCGACCGTCCAACGCCGTTGACGTCGGTCCATTAGGGTGGTGAGGGTGAGGGGGGGGGGCAGCTCGATCAAGATGCGCCCGCTTCTAAAGTGTCGGTGCCACGCTGAAGGAGTCAGGGAGGGGTGCACATCTCTCCAAATGCCCCGCACACATCCCTCCGTGTCTCTCTCTCTTTTTTTTACGATCAGTGGAAACAATAAGATGCTCGGTGTATTCGGCACTTTGCTTCGTTCATCATTTCGTAAAGAAGGTTTTTTTTTTTTTTAAACTGGGCTTTATGTAACCCCCCTCTAGCTCTCCTCTCTCTCCTCTCTCTTCCCACCGATTCCTCAATGGTCGTCTCGTGAGTCTTTGCGCTCTTCGCAGGCGGGGGCGAGTGAGCGTTGCGTTGAGCCGAAGCGGATCGCTCTGTCTGTATCTTGTACGGAGCGAGAGTTAAATTTCGATTTAAAGCTTTCGTGACTGCAGGGATTCATCTTCTTGGTTCTTTCGGTAAAGTCACGTAGAATGGAAATAATAAAATAA